ATATATATATATATATATATATATATATATATATATATATATACATATATTACAATCAAAATTGATTTATGTGATATCCATTTTTTTTAAACAAATTCTTTAGTCATAATCGATAGTTTAATTATGTTTCATATTGCATCATTTTTCAAATAAAGGAAAAATACCATCCTTAAAAAAGACAATCTATTAATATTTTTACACACATAATATGATATTAATACACGATATTGTTCAATAATTGTTAGTGGCGATTCCTATTTGTTGATTTTTTGTTCTTCATTTGTTCTTATGCAGATTTTGAGATTTTTAATATCGAATATGTTGAGATTACAGACAAGCCAATATTAATTGGAAGAAAGAAAATCCGTATTGTTTTTTGCTATATTGGGTAATGGTAATATTAATCGTTGATAGATGCTAGAATATGACAATAGAGATGGAGTAATATTGTTGATGAAGAAGATACGGGCCATGAATATTTTTATTATTATTATTTTTTATCTAGAATTTCTATTCTATGTTGAAAGCTAAGAATTCAATTTTAGTTAATTAAAAACATGTTTTGAATTTTTTTTAAAAAAAAGAATTGATTATTCCCAATGAAACTTTTGTTTTGTAATTTATACTTCATATTTTTATTTCATATCTTACTATTGTACAAGGGTTTATGTAAACTTGATGGTTGCGGTTCAACTTTCAAAACTATCGTCCAGCTCAATTGGCTTGACACTATCTCACCATCATAGAGTCGCATATAGATACCTTGGCCCATGATGAGAATATAATGGTTAAATAACATAATTCAACCCAAGTTAGATAAAATAAACAATCCTTTCATAAACCAATAGATTTAAATGGTCTTTATCCTTGGTTTTCATTAATGTTTATCACAAATAAAATGATAGCATAATCTCATTTTAATTCATGTATGATAACCTATTTCCGGGCAACCCTACACTAATTTATAAATAAATCATTAAGTATTGTATACCCGTATGCAGTATATAAAAAATGAGCAATGTAAAGATAATGATGAAACTCGGAATAGCACATTACTTGTGCTTTACATTAACTTGCACAGTTGTATCCAAACGAGCAAGCGGAGCTGTACACTCTCCACAATCTATTCACACAACTCACTGCTAATCAGCATCTCTTCATTATACAGAGAAAGAAATAACACCCAGAAGATGGCTGTGAGGAAATCGAAGCCAACGGCACACTGCAGCTTTTCCTCATCCAACATTCGGAACAAATCCAGAAATGATAATAAAAGGTTTGCACGGCTCTCCTGAATGTATCAATTTCAACTAACACCTCCTTTATCAATCATTCTGTACATGCTCCCACTCAAATGAGCGTAAAGAATCTAACTCAGCCATTAAAACCTTCTCCAATTGACAAAATAGAAACACGACAAACAAAAATGGTAATGTAGAAGAAGTGCCCTTTCATGTAGTATCTTCAGATTCCGTAAGGCAACATAGCTGCAAACTCCTCATGCTTTTCGAATACCATATTATGGGCAAACCATGCCAACTTCCAATGATATCTTGAAGCACACTCGTCTAATAACAGAAACTTCTCAGACGCACGTTGATCAATTTTGCCGAATGTGTCAAAATTGAACAAATAACTTCATACATCAAAATTTAGCAATCCATGATGCTCTTACAATATCCCATTTAAGACCCTCTGATAGTAATCGTACTGCCGAGTCCGCCAAGCATCCAAACTACTGCTTATTAGAGAAAGCACCAAGGAAACACATTGCTGCTAGAGGAAAAGTGACAATCGTGAAAGAAATGCACAGAAACCCATGGTATAGAAAAGTGAAGAGGGAGTAAAAATGCGAACCTCTTCTGTCAAACCTAAATGAAAGCGTTTTCTTAAGTTTTGTATTGTTCGGGGACCACCCTTGAAACACGGAAAACCAGAATCCTGCAATAATATCATGTTAAGAGCCACNGAAAAAAAAAAAAGAAAAGAAAAAAGAAAGAAACAACTCATCCATACCATAACTGGAAAAAATCCTTACATATCAACACACTATTAAAATCAAATGTTCCTACAAAACATGGATATGACTAATCTAATAGTAGATAAAACCAAATAGATTGTAGAAATGTGATACTATTTAAGGTGCCAACGTTTAGTGCAGACGGGTAATGAACCCAAAACCTTTTCAATGACAAAAAGGGTTAGTATACACAGAATGATTGTCCAGTGAAGTATAATTCAAGTATTTTAATAATCTAAAACAGCCAATTCGCCACAAACAAATTTTATTTGCAGTTGTAGATCCAGTACCTATGATACTGAAAGTTTTAGCCCAATTAGGGTTTTGTTATTTGACCTTATCAAGGTAAATCAGATTCCTTCTACATAACTATTATATTTGATCCTCTCCCCAGGTACTTGTTGATTAAAGATGTCTGCTTTATTGACCATCAAGAAGCAGAATAAATTTATAATCAGAGAAGAATAGGGCAAGATAACAATCCCCACTTATGTTTATAAACAATTCAAGCACGAATCATGACCCTTGTGAGATCAATTTCTCGGTTACATTGGTTGTTCCACATATTCATCAAACAAACTCTATTGACGTCTCTGCAGCAACTTTAAACATATGGTTTTGGCAAAAGCTCATTTCAGTTGGATTTGACTTCGGCTGGAGATAAATATCTTTCATATGTTGATCGCAGGCAAATATATTCAAGAGAAATATTCTTAAAAAGAAAAAGAAAGAAAGAGAGGGGGGAAAACATTCTGTAAATAATAATTCTCTGTTTTGTTTAACAAATTAAATATTTCTTTCTCCTATACTTCACAGGCAGAAAAGACCTCATAGTTGTGATGGCTAAGGCATCCTTTAGTATAATAAATATTAAAATGAAGTTAGAGCCACTTCCTACATGGTACTCCACGCAAATTATAAACATTACTGTTTCTTCCCCTACACACTAAACTAGGTTGACCCAATTCTTTTGAAGATGCAGAGTGAAGTGTCTTAAAGGTCAGTAAAGCCAAGGCAAAATTAACAGTTTCATCACACTTCTTCTGCATCAATATGTTGAACTGCACAAACTCTAATTAAGCTGTAACTGCATCTTCTCTTCAGGAAATTCAACGATACTAGTCATCTAAGGCTGATAGATTTATCCTATCATGGGACTGAGAGCCAGTCGCTTGAATGTGAAGTGGTGGGGCTGCTAATTGCTAAAAGGTAATGATATACTGAACCATTAATGCTGAGTTGGTGAAGGAATGTTGTGATTGATATCAATCTTCCAACCATTCTGTTGAAAGAACTGAGAAGCAAGTTCAGAAATATATGAGTGAGTATAGTGCAATTTAATGGAAATTATGTATTAATAAATAATGATTGGTCATTTGGTGAGATATTTTTATTAAAAGTGAGTTTATGTGGCTGATTGGAGGAAGGTGATTGAATGAATAGTAAATTGTCTAGTTTTATATCCAATCTCATTTCAGAGGAAGAAAATTTATTAGAGATGGTATCCAATCCCACCCATATACTTCTGAAATTTAACCTTTCCGTTGATATTCATTGGTTATCATCTTGAAACCATTACTCATGTCTTGTAATATACTTTTGACTTCAGCCTTCAGGTACATGTTGCACCATGGAGTCAGATTCAAGATATGGGTCTAGTGTTACATATAACCAAACATGACTGATTAACTCACGGCCTCAATCAGGCTTCCTCAAATGTGCTGCAAGCCCATGCCACAGTTAAAGATCCAAAAAGCTGAACAGAGCTTGACAAGAAACACCGTGTTTGCCTATACTTATTCACAAATAAGCCAAGAGGATAAGAGGAATGAAAAGTTGAAGTTGATGCATATCCTCAATCTGGAGTCTAAGGACACTAGAGCAGATTATATAACTTGGCAAAAATGATGTCTGTAAAAATGCCGTATAAAGATGTGAACTTCATTCACTGACACATCCACAAAATTAAAAGCATTTGTGTCACAGTTTAGCACTCAGCAAATTTAACAGCTATAAAAATAAAAATAAAACCAATGTGGTGTCCAACCTGAAGCATCTCAACTAGAAGAATTATGCGCTCTGCATGTTTACGACATGTCAGGAAACCTTGGATGCATAAAACCTAAAATACCAACATGAAAGGCAGAGCTATAAACACCAGAAATATCATGAAGCAATTTGAGACTAAATTCAAAGATAAAAATAAAATTAGAACACGTGCAAAAAAAAAAAAAAATACTCCAACATTTACCTTAAAATAATCAAAAAATTCGCTTGGAACACCCTCAGCATCAGAGTCCATCACCTAGAACAAACCAACATACCCTTACTCCAATATATATTTTAGTTCACAGAATCTGAGAATGGCCGGAATGTGATGTAACGTGGCCATATGCTAAAGATAAAAATATTTAATTTTGTGTACCACATCATAATATATGGCCTCACCTCGAGAAGCTCACGGGTCAACTTAAATGGAGCACTCTCAAAATTTACACCCCCAGGTGAATTAGAAAGCATAAAACCAAAGTCTATGTGTATGATGTGACCTTCTTCATCCAACAACAGGTTCCCATTGTGCCTATCCTTAACCTGAGGACAAAACCAACACCCATGATGAGGTTTCATGTAAGGAAGTAATTTTAACTGGCAAAAGCCATATATATCAAATTCAAAATACGATGTTGGGGAAAGAGACAAGCCCCAAATCTTAATGATAAAGCTCTAGTTACGAGAGCAAAAGTAGACTTCCCAATATTATTTGCAGTAATCATATCATGAATAGTTGAAACCGGAAAAATGGATGTGAATAAAATAATGACTTGAAGAGTGGTAATAAAATGTATAATGCAACAATGAATGTAAATAAAATCGTTACACTTGGTGGTAATGACGTATAATGCTCACCATGTCTTTATCTATTTCCCTTTTCAGATTTCCAACATTCTTTGAATGTTCCAAAATGGTCACAAGGAATCAAGAACAAGATGAGAGTTAAATGAAAAGAACAGGATGGAACGAATCATATTAAGTAAGAAAAGGCACTGAGCAAACAATAGCTCCATCAAATAAACTTAACAAATCTGAATTTACTCATCAGGAAAATCTTGTACTTGTTACTTGTAATTCTACATTAACATGGTCATGAACAGATGACTTTGTGTGTGACTGTGTGTGTATGTGTGTGTGTGTGTGTGAGAGAGAGAGACAGACAGACAGAGACAGAACGTTCACCTGTAAGAGGTAACAAACTAGGGAGTATCCAGCCATGCTTTCCACAAAGTTCCTCTGCAAGACACAGTACAGCTTATATCTCAGTAAACACACATTATTCAAGCAAGGTAGCCAGATTTTAATTTTCCAACCAAATTTAGGTGTAATGCCACCTCAATGAACAAAAGTATGCATCTGAAAGTAAAAGAGGTCAGCAAATAGTTAAAGATCGACGAAAAAAGGGAATGGTTCCATTGTAAATGATGAAGCATAATCAATAGTATTACATACTATTAGTGGATCACAACAAAGATTCAATGCTATGGATCCAAATTGAGGCCATATATGTCGACACACACGTATAAGTGAAAAGTCTCAAAGAGACTGAAAAAAAAATCCCAGTCCATCAACATCTGTTATGGAAAAACACAATTTCGGAATAAAAATATAAAATCTATTTTATGCATTTGATATAACTTGGATTAAGATATGTCACATGTCACCAGAAATTAATTTAGACCTAGAGCATTGTGGAAGCTCCAAGAAGGTTCGGTGGCTAAGAACAAAAACACAAGCATGTTCCACGTCCTTGGGTAATATTTACTCGTGGCAATAAAACGTCAAATACAACTAGAGCCTTCTGAAAAGCCTGGCCAAGATACTAAAGGTGTAATTGTATATATTTTTAATTGGAAAAAAAGTTTGGAGAAAGTAGATTGAGCATTTAATGATTTTTAGAATACAAAATGATGTACGTGAAGAGTGTTTTAAAAGTGATGTGATAGAAAAAAAATAGTAAAATACAATTATAAATATGTGAGTGGGCTGGATGAATAGTAAATTTTACCTAAAAATGTGTGGCAATGATCGATTTTAATTTAAAAATTGTATTATGAAAATTGAAGAGAGAGAATAAGAGGGGGAAAAAAAGTAAAATGAGTGATTTCTTTTAGTTGGTGGATAAAAATTGAACAATTGTAATACCCAATCGCACCCTAACTCTGTACAAGCTTTAGAAGGTTTGCCAGATAGTTGACATAAAAAGGATCCTAAACTGTACGTTGTTGTTTATTTAGACACTTCAAATTATGTTTGGTATTTATAATTGTAAAGGACAAAGAACCAAACTCCCCAGTTTGTTTTAGAGTATAAATAGCCACCACAATCACAAATTGATCCTCAATCAAAAGAAAATAAGGATGTAAAATTCAACTAATTTGATTTGCTTTATATATAATCTTAAACATCTAAACCAACTCCTGTTGCAGCCTGATGAATCTGAAAAATTCCAAACAAATCCCACCCAAAAAACACATGCATGAATGTGCAGACACACACAAATGACTGAGAATGCTGATTTTTCGGAATAAACTAGCAACAGAAATAATCAAAACACTAAATGAAAGACAATATCATTCAACAACCATTTACCTGAGCAAGCTTAAAAGCAGGAGAGTTTTCTTGATACTTGGCAACAAAAAAGTCCCGCAAACTTGAAATATTGGGAAATCTACTTTTGATCGAATGGAGTGATGCCTAATGATAAGGTAAGTCCAGAATTAAGCTTATCTACAATTATGTGCATTTATATAAGTGAATTCTGCTTAATCATAACAATGTAATTACCGTGTCTGGTATGGTTTCAATCAGAGCTGTATAAGAGAAAGTAACTAAAACTTCGTATGGACGCAACCACAGGGGTAGACCAGCTTCCTGGAATATATCTGGAATCCAGAAAATAATTTAAAACTGAGAATTCCACAAAGAAGCACACAAAGATTACTTAGATATCGCTAGAGCATGACTAGTGCACATTCCATAATCATCATTGCACAACCTCAGAAATAAAGTGCTAGCTAACAAAATAACATCACTGCAGTAATGTGGAAGTCACCAGTCAACAAAAAATTATCATTAACCAGTACATAAATCAATTTCATTTGGGTGAATATCCAAGGTCAAAATCAGATGAGAGTTTATATGCATTTCATATTTTATTTTGTTATAGCGTAGTTGCTATTGAAACAACACATGGCGACGACCCTCGCTATAATAGTGTAGTTGCTATTTTGTTAGTATTCTATTCAAGTGAAATAAGATTGTTTTTTGACTTCTTAGCTTGGGTGGGATTATTTCCCGAGCAGAACCTCGTGTTCTTGGAGAACTAGTGTTCTTTTCTTTGTTTCTCTACATAATAATATTTAGTTTCTTTTACTTTGACCCTTTACTCCTAACAATTGGTCCGACCTGCCGCTGGATATGGCACGTATGGATTCTAGAGTTGAAGCTATGGAGAATTGTCAAGAGGCAATTGAACACAGCCACACTATCCTCGAAAACGCCATCACCAAACTAGCAGATCTACTCACAGTCTGCTTCAAATAAGCAGAATGCTGGGACTAGCTGACATGACACAGACAACAATCATTCCAATTCATCTTCGCTTGAAACGCCTACTGGTGAGCTTTTATTTCCTTCCAGCCGCATTGAGATCCCTTATTTCGATGGGACAGACCCAATTGGATGGCTCGCACGGGCCGAACAATATTTTACCATATACTGCACTCACGACGAATTGAGCGTGTCCACCGTGTTTGTTAGCATGGAAGGTCCCACGCTTCGATGACTTCAGTGGATTAAACAACAAATTCTTACCTTGACTTGGGACCAATTTAGATCCGAACACTATGGATCAATTTGGTGACCAAAAGACTACAGTCGATGAATATGCCAATGAATTTCGCGCACGTGCTGCTCAAATATCGGGGTTATCACCTGTTGTCCAATTAGGGTTGTTTCTCAATGGACTTACGGCGGCTGTTCAAGTGCATCTTAGACCGAACGATATGGTGGACTTGAGTACAGCTATGTGTGTCGCCCATGCTATTGAAGATGAAGTAAACTTTCTTCACCATAGCACATCTCCTGGCCAACCTTCGGGTCCAGAGAATCGGTGGACAACAGGTTTTGGGCTTGGATAGACCCCAAGCCCTGCCTCTAAGGGTTCAACATTACCTACATTACCTAACCCTAATTTCCAGAACCAGCCCATCCCAGCAGCCAACTCATGTCCTACAAATGGTGGAAATTTTCCTGTCTCATCTCTGAATTCTAGTTCTTCTGCCTTCTGCCCGCAATCCAACCCACCCTGTTGTTCAGAAAGGCATCCACCATTATTCTCATCAAGAGTGCCAAGATTTGCAAGCAAAAGGGCTTTGCTTTCGGTGTAAAGAACCATACAGCCCGATGCATGTCTGCCCCCAACAAATCCATTCAAGCCTTAATTGCTGCAGAAGATGATGCTGAGGCTTTTGGTAAAGACCATGGGTTCAACTTTGATGCCACCTAGATCTTGGACCACGTCAATCTGTCAACCTTGAGGAAAAGACTATTTGAAAGGGGAGAACATTGTTACAGATCATTGTATATGTTAATATATTATTTAGAATAAATTAGTGGGCTACAAACCTATTAGGTTAAGGTGTCCATTAGGGTTATTTTCTTAGGGTTTGTATTCTATTTAAGTGTGTCCTTAGTCTTTTGTGTAGGGCACGGGAGAAATAAGGTGGCTTTTCGGCTTTTTAGCTTGGGCTGGAATTATTTCCTGAGAACCTCGTGTTCTTGGAGAACTAGTGTTCTTTTCTTTGTTTTTCAACATAATAATATTTAGTTTCTTCAACTTTGACCCTTTACTCCAAACAGGTGCCATCTTAGAAACAGGATAAAATCTGTCAAAACCCAAAAGGGAAATCACAGCAATCAATTTGGGACTATGGGAGAGATAAGTTTAAGCTCAATAGTGAAAAAAAATTATGCAATTTTCTCAAGTATGAGCTTTTCTAGTACACTTCATGAATTGCCATCAGGTTAGCCCAAAACCCTTAAAATGAGAAACTCCTATAGCTTCTTAATAACAAAAACAAAATTCATTCCTCTGTACATAATATTTTACCAAAATGTTTTCATCTTCATCTCATAATTCACGAGACACTCAAAATGCAATCACTCTCACTCTTTTCACACAGATCTGTCCACTTCATCACAAGAAAGAAAGTGTTATTATTATTATTACATAATTTTTCATACAAATCCATTTTGACAACATACAATTCTAGTAACCAATTATATCGAGTCATGATCCACTATATTTACTTCACAATTCATCTTTCCCATCATTTTTTCAAAATTATTTGTTCTTCGTTCAGAAGTTTTGAAGTAAGAGGAATTCCAATTGCAGGTTCACAAGCAATTTGATTCTTCTGAGGTAATGATCAATGATAATTTTCAGAGGGCAATAAGTGTCCAATTTCTTATTCATCTTCTTCCATCATCACCCGTCATCAAACACACAAAAATCAAGGAATGAGAATAGTGAGGCCAAATGTCTTGACTGAAATTCTCATATGAGTATTTACCGTAAAAATGATAAATTAGTTGTACGGCGAGGTGCTCCTGACGGCAGTCATCCCCACTCTTCACAATTGCCTATAATATACAAGGAGTAAGATTAGCTGGTGCATGAGAAAAAGATGGCTACATGCGCAGTACAAGAACACTACAGAAGAATTTGAAAAGAATCAAACATCAATTTGCAATAATCTGCAATATACAGCGAGTATTAACCATGGAATAAATAAATCATGAAACCAATATTAACTGCCTAATGGCAACAATGTATTGCAAGAACATTGTATCAAAATAATCCTGACATCCAGCAATATCAATTTATCCTTACATTTGATCTGTTCCTTATTGAAAGTAATGGTGTAAGAGAAGAAAGTCGTGGAAAAACAAAATTCTGAGGCAATGGCCCCTTCTTTTATTCAGTAAGTCATGAGACTTCTGCAGTGAACGACATGCTGTTATGTGAAAACATTGCACCATGATCTGATCACAATGGCAAAAAAGGTTTGACAAATGGTTAACATTGTTGGAATATCACTTGTGAGTTGTTCCACATTGCTTCTAGCTTATAAACCTAGTGGGCTACTCCTCCCGTAACCAATTGATTTTGGGATGGAACCTCACTTAGCTCAGACTCTCTTATTGTGTGTTTCACCTTTACGGATCGCACCCCTTCCCCCAAATCAATAAGTGCATGCGTGGAAACAATTTTTTTTCAAAAAAGTCCCATCATTTTTAACCAATCATTTTTTTTTAACTCAAATCTAACTCAACCCCCTATCCTCAATATTATCAATATAATTATATAATATTATCAATTTTAAGTCATTATTCATCCACTTACATAATTTTTGCTAACCATCACTTCACATCATATCTCTCCTACTTTTACATCAAAAATCGACTTTAACTATTTTATTTTAAATATTATTTTAATATAAACTCAAAATACCACTAACAACTACTTATACTACTTTTTTTCAAAATTACCCCTACCAAAACAAAAAATCTAAACAAAATCAAAACGTCTTATATCCAAGCATCCCCTAAATTCAACAAGGTATCTTCTGCTAACCAAGCCTGATCTGCGACAAGAATCACAAGTGAGGGGGCGTGTTGGAATATCACTTATGAGTTGTCCCACATTGCTTGTATAGGGCAAATGAGCCTAGCTTATAAGCCTAGGGCTACTCCTCCTATCACTAATTGTGGGATGGAACCTCACTAAGGTGCACCTAAGCTCACCCTTTTGATGGGACCGTACCCCTCCCCCAAATCTTTAAATCTAACAGACACAACATTCAGGATTCACAACATTCAGGATTCAGCCTCACCTGGTCAATGTTCTCGTTATATTATACAAACACTAGTAAGACTATAAACAAACCCCCATTAGTGAACTATATGAATATCATTCAAGTTTGTTTGGCTAGATAATTGAATAAGCAAAACTCAAAACTCCCAAAAGTTGGGTGGATTTCGTTCGTTTACTACCCTAGACACTAGAATATTAATTAACATCATCAAGATTACGACAGGGGGTTTAAAATTTAACCAAACCCCTCTGTTACATTAGTAGCCAAAAAGGAGTAATACAGCATTAGTCAATACACAAACTCTTAGGAAAGAAGAAATCTTTTAAGTACTATTTGAAACATTGGAAAATGTTCTATCTATTCCTAAAATCTCGAGGCACAATTACTATTCCATTATGCTGTCAAAACCCAAAAAGGAGTAGTACAGGGCAAAAACTCTTAGGAAAAAAAGAAATCTTTTAAGTACTACTTGAAACGTTCGAAAATGTTCTATCCATTCCTGAAATCCCAAGAGCTCGAGGCACAATCACAACTCCATTATGCTATCAAAACTTATAAGGGCCGCTCGAGTAGCAAGCCAATCTGCTGCACCATTTTATTCATCATTAATATGAGCATATACTATGGTTTCCCACAACCAATGTTGCTTTTCATGATTGCAAATTCTCCTTAAAAAACTGATAAGGCTATACAACAAGGAGAGAGATAAATTCCCACCAAACGGCAAAGACATGGGAAAGTCTAAGAATGATCCACAAACTGATTCTTTGCAAACATATCATGTCTCACCAAACAACAAAAAAGGTGAGGGGCGACAGACAAAAGAATAACAACTCACAGAGCGCAAGTCCCAGCCGGGTAATTTTCCATACACTGATGCTTTGCGGATTCGCTCTTTCTTTACTGCCCAAAGTTCACCAGCTAATGCATCGCCTACCTTGGGAACACCACCATTTTCAACCTGTCCAAAATTAAGTCAGCATCTAAGCAATCTATTTGCATGACAAATGTAATTGCACAACAATTGGAGTTTCAAGAAGTATTCACCTTTGGTTGAGCATCGGATGAATCCTGACCAGCTCCTTTCAGAGGAAGACCAGGAGGAGCTTCTCCTTTCAAAGCAGCTGCCTACCGTCATAATTTTCAAATTAACATACTTATTGAAAAAATAGAAGAGGTTAAGTGTCTCATTTAGGGTCATTTGTAACAAGATATGCACATGCAAAGATTACCTTAACTTCCTCAATTGCCACGGTACTGGGAACACGCCGATGTTCTTTCCGTCGAGGTGGATCTTGGTCCAATATGTCATCCATGCTACTTCCAGGTTCTGCTGACAAGATCACCCTCACGAATTCCAAATCAGAGCTATCGTCTCCATGAAATGCACTGGCACCCTCTTTGGTCCGGCCACAATTAGCAGCTGCTTCTGATTGCTTCTCCACAGAAAAATTGACATGAACAAATTTCACTTTAGCATCCCATAACTGAGCCATTGCCTGATCTATCGCATCAGAAGTGGACCTAGACATCCTATCATAACCACTGTGGTACATATCCTGTCCTGTCCATAAAGGATAAGCCCATGGAGGAGGCTTCGGTAGAAGTGCATCCCTATTTGCCAATGGAATTCCTCCTCTAGAAAGCTTTTGTGAATTGGAAGCATCGGTTGAATTACTGCTCCAGAAATCATTAAGAAATATATATATATGTGTGTGTGTGTATCAGTTCTTGTTAAAGTATGAGAGTCGTCACACAAGTTAAAGCATACAGTTAAGCACATGTAGCTACCTTGGAGCTTCACACTTCAGAACTTCAATACAGATAAGATACGGAGCTTTTTCTCTCGAATTCATGAGGACAGCTTCATCTACCGGAATTTGAACAACACGATACATACCTTTCCCCATAGGAAAACATATTCCTGAGCACCATGAAAACAATAATATCACCAACTTAATTAGTAGATATCAACATCAGGACTAGAACGAGGAAGTACGAAACAGAAGTATGGTATGTATCCAGGACCTATGCTATAACAGAAGAGACAATGGAAAATAGAAAGAAGAGGGCAGTAAAGCACTAATTCAGCAGCTCACAAGACAAATAAAACAGTAAATAATACGATCACAGTAACCTGCAACTATATAGTATCAGTCATAAACATGTAACCCAACAATAGGTTTCCACTAAAAAGAAGAATCAGCTAATGAAATAATTAAATACAAATCCATTGTAATATTTACCTCCACTACTTTGAGAAACATCTATATGTTCATTGATCTCTGCAAGTGACTGAAATAGAATAAACCAAAAACTTCAGCAAAGGCATAAGTTAATGCAGCATCAAGGAATAAATAGAAGAGATCTCTGCAAGTGACTGAAATAGAATAAACCAAAAACTTCAGCAAAGGCATAAGTTAATGCAGCATCAAGGAATAAATAGAAGAGAATTTGGACAACCTCGCGAAGAGCTGTTTTTCGATCTTCAATAGGAAAAACATCAACAAGGCCATAGGATGTCTCACATAAAGATTGAACAAAATCAAGTGATTCATGATACGTTCCTTTCCTAAGCTGTGATACGCTATTTGGAAGTGGAGGTTTAGCATGTGATTTTCTACTTCCCTGCTTTGGTGAGCCAGGATGATTCTGCATAAAGAAATGCCTTTGAAGTAAAAAAAACTGAAAGTACTAATTCTACAAAAGGCATTTCAAGTGATGAAACTAATACGAATATACGACTCTAACGGAATATTGAATAAAATAAAATCAGCAGAGAGTTGCATCAGCACATCATAAGAACCAAGGACATACTATTTAAAAGGCGATGTGCCCACCAGTCGACAAAGACCACTAAAAACATTCTGATGAACATCATTTACCAAAAAACCAGATAATATTAAAATATCATAACGAACTTCGATAACATGGTGCACTTTTTGAAGTTACAACCCCAAGGTTTTGGAAAATTCTTCACCCAGAAACTTTGATATAGGAAGCCTATCTGATACATTAAATTAGGTACAAATACCAAGATTTTTTACTTCGAGTTTAAGTGAAGGCAAATTACAAATATTCTCTCCAAAGATTAAACAGCACAGGTGCAGTACGTTGACTTAAAGTAATCAATGAACTCTAATCTGGTTCCATGTCGGAGGCTTAGCTTTGAAGTTTTGAAACCACATAAACAAGCCCTTTTAAATTCAGACCTGAAAAAAGCAAAAGTAATCACAAAAGGAGTGTTTTCTTCAACAGAACCATACAGACAACTGTCTCAGCACCTTTGAAGACTTCAAAATTTTTTTAATTTAAATAAAAAAAAAACCGTTGAATATTATCGATGAACAATTCTTATTTTAACAGAATGATTTTCAATGCAATTTGAGATTTATAATATTCATTTTATAATTAACAACTTGTCCCAAAAGCTTCGCATTGTACCTCATGGTATTCTATTTATCTCAGACTTCTGTATTCTATTGAAACCTCTATAAAGAGGTGACCATGTAACCATATGAGTCGATTAACTTAACGAAGTTATCATTTGGCGAATATTAATTTTCTTTTCAAAGACCACGTGACGACTGTAATTCATTCTTATATCTTCAATTCAATCATTGCAGTAAGGTAGATACCATATAGACTTTCCATTGGGTAGAAAGAATGATACCACTCAGAAAAACTTGGAATGCTACTGAATAGGTATTCCGCAAAACCAAAGGCTGACTACAGCAATAGATGTAAAATATGCCGTCAAAACAAGACTGTCACATACTTGGGGTAAAGGAAAACACATCAATCAATTTACCTAACACATATATGATAGAGATGAAAGGATGGAAATACATCAATTTTAGAATATTTTATGCTTAATCTTAGAGCAGTTCCAACTGAGATGTTGAAATAATAAAAATTTAGCGGTGGCATTAAGTTACATAGTTGGCATAAAAATTATTATGAGCCCATTATGTTATGTGCCCTTTTATGCTGACATGGATGGATAAATTAAACCTTAAAAGTGTGAAGCCCAATTCATCACAAATCTAATCTACTTGCACAGATTTTGCTGAAACTAACCTCTCTGGCATCTTCAAAGTTTTGGCAACTCTTTGAAAATAAATTCCACCCACACTAACTATATGCCAAAACATATAAAACTAGCAGAAACAATTATTGATCTTCATCATAAATTGATGCAAGCAATCACATTATATTTTGGATAAACTTATCAAGAAATAAGTAAGGAACTGACCGCTTTACTCATTTTTGAACCATAGAGTTCAGAATCTTCTACTGAGCGGTCTCGATCCTTAAACAGCTTCCGAAAAAAGTTCTCTGTTCCAGGACTGCTTTCAAGAAGATTGTTACTATAGCTACTGTCATTTGCCGTAGAAGTTTTGGAATCCTCTGGATGGACACGGAACAATCTACGCAACAATGAATCCGGCGGGTCATCATCTGCACTGTTTGCATGTCCTGTCCTATTCTCATCAACCCGTTCACTGGCATCTTTCTTGTCATCGAATTTTTCCTTAAACAGTTTCTTGAAGAATCCTTCATCTTCAGAATTCTTTCCCACTCTCACATCATCATCATTCTTGTCATTACCATCATTCTTATCAACATTTTTATCCTTAAAGAGTTTCTTGAAGAATCCTTCCTTCTCCTCATCTTCAGCAGATTTAGACAATGCTTTTTCATCTGAATCATTTTTACCATCTCGAAACAACCGCTTGATAAAACTATCCGTACTTGAGTTAATCCCCTCCTCCTCATCCTTACCACTCAAAAGCCTTCGGAAAAAACCATCTTTCTCAAACTCCTCGTCATTCCTATCCATCGACTTTCTCGAATCTTCTTCTCTGCTACTGGTCAATAACCTCTTGAAGAACCCACCATCTTGCTCGTGCCACTCCTCATCTTTAGATCTATCCACCGATTTCCGCATGCCCTCATCACGATTGTCCCTCAGTAACCTCTTGAAGAACCCAGATTCCTTCTCAGGATCCTCATCATTCTCTTTACCGTTACCTACAGACTTTCTCGCATCATCATCCCTACTATCCCTTAACAATCGCTTAAGAAATCCACCATCCTTCTCAGGCACCTCCTCGTCCTTGTCCAAAGATTTCCTGAAGAGCAAAGCATCTCGTACCTTGGGACCTGGGATAAATTTCTTGAAAATCTTATTGTTCTCCTCGGGGGTTCCCACAACTTTACCACCATCATCATTCGTTATCGAGTTACCCGACGAGGGTGAAAAGGAGAACGACTTGGACACAAGTGTGGCATTCGGAGGAGATGATGTCAACGACATTAACTTCTGTTTTGATGACAACAGTCGGTTCAACATCGGGTTTTTACCGGATGGGCTACTGCTACTTCCATTGTCATTACCAAATGACATTGTCGACATAAAGCCACTAGTCTGCAGCTGAGGCTTGATCAAAGGCGGCCACTCACCCATTAAGGTGGCGGCAAACTGACACTTCTCCTGAATCCTACTAACCCCTTCGTTATCATCGACTTCCTCCAATTCCGCCATCAGAAACCAGTGGACTTTGAGTGCAATTTTCAGGGATTTCGAACAGACATCTATAACAAATTTGTCCAGCGAGGGGCTGGGCTTGTGAATTAACATGTAGCAAATTTGAAACAAGTAGCTCTCGATACCAGAGAGAGGGAGAGTATACATTCGGTTGCACAAGTAATCTCGAACACCCGAGTGATCGTGCTTGTAGAGGTAGCTGACGGCGATCCATTCGCAGAAGAAGGCCGAGTCAAAGAATCTGATCAGCCACCCGCTTTCCCCGATGTTTTCACTCGTTGGAATCGTCCGAGTAACCTCGCGCGGTGAGTCAGCCCAGTCCCCAAAGGCACGCGTCAATCCCAGAATCCCCACCATCGTCAATTTCTGCTCATCCCAATCGACAAGTCCAAATCCCCAAACCCTTGGTTGGTAGAATTCTAAAGCGAGTATACAGACTGAATATTCAAAATCGGGAATACGAGGGATAATTGGGGTTTCCGCGACGACGCCGTATGCTGCCTGGCGCCGGTGTCAGGAGAATTGTGGTAGTCACATGTGGTGGGTGGTGCTAACGTGCGCGCCGATTGTTCGGAGAAGAGAATTTCATTTTCTCTCTTTTTTTTTTAATCAATTATTTAGCTCTTGGTGAAGAAGCTTCGGGATGGTTTAACGCCACCAAACCGAAGGCAAAATTTTCTTTCTTTCTTTGCCTGTAAAATTAATTCAAATCTTGTCATGAGAGAGGAGGGCATGTGGTTGTATGACGGGTCAGTATTTTGAATTTTTCGGGCCACCCTCTACTCTACTATTTTGGTTCATGTATCTAATGAAAAATATTCAAAAGTTCATAGAGCCAATCATATAATCAAAAATAATATTGACATGCAAACAGGGCGAAACTAGCTAATAAAATAAATAATATTGACATGCAAATAGGGCGAATCTAACTAATAAAATAAATAATATTGACATGCAAATAGGGCGAATCTAGCTAATAAAATGAGTGTGGCTTAATCTATATCTATATCTATCTATATATATATACAATAAGAATTACCATTTACCAAAAATAGTAGCAAAAAAAAGGTTAGAATTTAATGCAGCTTGTTGATGTCGAAAATCGGACGATCAACCGTCAAATATAATACGAATTCTTTTTATGAAAAATCAAGAACAAAACTATTAAAAATGATGTTTTTATTTCTTATTTTTTGGAGAGAGTCTCATCCAACCACCCCTACTCTCTCTCTTTTGTGTTGTGTGGGAGGGAAAAAATGAAGAATGGAAGAAGACCCCCTTCTCTCTCCTCCTTCTTACATATATATACAAGTCTACCCCTTTTTTGCAAGTGGACAATTAAAATAAATAAAAGGTTGTACATTATCATTTAATGAGAGGTAGTCATTGCGGGACCCACTAGTGACCCTTGACGGTTCCGACCGATATCTGTCTTCTCGGCTCGGTAGCAGGGGACTCGACATTTGGGAACCTGGTCGGTTTTTAGGTGATCCCTCTCCAGAACCTGTTCGTATATTCATTTATTATGTATTTTTGACTCCTTGGTCATTGGGCCGTATTTTATTATTTAATTTATCATTTATTTAATCGGAGCCAAATTGAGTATTAACAGGAAGCCCCCGAGTTTAGGACATGTTCTGGATTGAACTGTTCTGAAGTCGCGTTTATTCTTTACAATTTGGCAATGTTTTCGCCTCATGATCTTTTGAACTTCGAGCTCTTTACATTGTGTAAGGATATACGTGTAATGAGAGATATTGGTGAAATCGCAAATATGCCGACGAGTGCGCGTGTCAGATAACTTTCGCGTGATTCAAGAGATCACATTTATCTTGTCGGCTTTTACTTTATGCGTCTCGAGGACTCATTTAATCTTTATCGAGTAACTTTGGTTACTTGGATCGTTGTTTTGTTGTTTTCGGGCACTTTGGGACCCTTGCACGTTTTGTTGATCATTTCAAGCTTTGGCCTGACGTATTTACGATAATCACGCTTTTATCTTTGACGAGTTGATCCAATTTGAGAGAATGGACAATTTTTCTAAATTGCTATTAGATGAGGCCTGAGTGGCCTGGTCGGGTAATTTGGTACCCATTTTTATGCAGGAATGCGTTTTGAATTGTCGACATGAGTGAGCTTAGAGCTCTTTGTCTGAGTGAGCTTTGAGCTCTTTGTTTCTTACGAGACTGTATGCATAATGCGATCACATGTGGAATGCGTGAATGTATGATGGATGTATGTGATGAATGTATGTGATGAATGTATGATGAATGTATGTGATGAATGTATGATAAATGAGCGCACCTTGTCGCATATCTAATTGGGCTGAACTGTTTTTAGAGTTCGGTTTCCAGTTTCAGGGCACTTCGGCCTTATGGCTCGTAGGCCTTTAGCTTTACGACGTTTCGGCCTAATGGTTCGTAGGCCTTTAGTTTTACGGCGTCTCGGCCTAATGGCCCGTAGGCCTTTAGTTTTTTGGCATTTCGGCCTAATGGCTCGTAGGCCTTTAGTTTTACGGCGTCTCGGCCTAATGGCCCGTAGGCCTTTAGTTTTTTGGCATTTCGGCCTAATCGGGCCCCTATGGTTAGCCCGACTTGTGTAATTTATTGCACTAATGATTACGATGGCGCATTACCCATCCGATCCGCTCGTTGGGTCGGGTGGTGGTCTGGCCTGGCCGAGTTTCACGATCGAGCTCGACACTTATTTATTACCTTTTTTACGTTGGTGACTGTGGCCTGACCAGGCTACGTGACTAAGCCCGGGTTGTGCCGGCCGGGCCATCGTACTGAACCCGATCTGCACGAACTTATTACTTGGTCGAGCCTCGTGATCGGGCTCGGCGTTTATTTATTACTTTGGCTCGTTACCTGTCCGACTTGCTCATTGAATCGGGCGACGGTCTGGCCTTGCTGAGTTTCGCGTTTGAGCTCGTTATTCATTTCTTACATTGCGACTTTGGCCTTACCGGGCTACTTTGCTAAGCCCGGCTCGTGCCGGCCAGGCCATCGTACTGACCCGACCTGCACATAATTACGTGGCAGCTTACCTAACCGGTCTCTCGTTCGGACTCGGTGGTATTATTGGCCGGACTGGGCTTCCTAGTTGAGCCCGGCTAGTGCCGACTAGGTCATCGTACTGATCCTAGCCAACACTTCGTTCCTTACGTTTATTACGCCGCTTCGACTCGATCTAAGCCTAAGACGACCTAGCCTCTAAAAGCAAAAGGTAAATTACATTCTTGACCTAACTCATCGAATAATCTATACAATAACGCCACTTACTGAGTGAGAATAGCCTAGACCTATTGGTAGGACTTCTTCAGAAACGCCGAGTTTTATGGGTATTGATGGACGCGTGCCGTTCAGATGTTCAAGTCGGTAGGCCCGGTGTAAAAGAACCTCGTTGATTTGATATGAGAGTGGTTTGACTTGGGATTTGGCGAATCTCTCGTCTCGTCTGTTATATGCGGCGTTTCTTGAGCTCGGCTCATGGTGCTCGTCTGCGAAGTACAGGCTTGCTCTCAGGGACTCGTCGCGCCGACAAAGTGTCGATAGGCCTGATGGAGCTAGGGCTCGTCGGCGGGAGAGATAAAGATATTAATTTGGCCGAAGCGAAGGCAAGACGGCAGTTGGAGTAACAATTACGTTGGCCCGGCAGAACAGGGGCTCGTCGGCAGGCGATGTGTAGGTGTAGGTGCCGACATGGCCGAAGCGCAGGTCTCGCGACGTTAGAAGTAACAACGTAGTTGGCCTGGTAGAGCAGGGGCTCGTCGGCGGGAGAGATATAGGTGCCGACCTGGCGAAGCGCAGGTCCGGCAGTTATAGAAGTGATAACGTTGGCCCAGTAGAGCAGGGGCTCGTCAGCCGGCGAGATGTAGGTGCCGACCTGGCGAAGCGTAGGTCTGGCGATGGTAGAAGTAAGAACATCGGCCTGGTAGAGCGGGGGCTCGTCGCCGGACTGGATGGGGATGTCGGCCTAGCCGGAGCGAGGGCTCAACGGCGGGCAAAGTAATGACGTCAGCCCGGCAGAGTAGGGGCTCGTCGCCGGACAGGATGGGGACATCGGCCTCGTCGGAGCAAGGGCTCAACGGCGGGCGAAGTAACGGCGTCAGCCCGGCAGAGCAGGGGCTCGTCGCCGGACTGGATAATGACATCGGCCGGAGCAAGGGCTCTACGACGGGCGATGTAACGACGTCAGCCCGACAGAGCAGGGGCTCGTCGCCGGACTGGATAATGACATCGGCCGGAGCAAGGGCTCTACGACGGGCGATGTAACGACGTCAGCCCGACAGAGCAGGGGATCGTCGCCGGACTGGGTAATGACATCGGCCGGAGCAAGGGCTCTACGACGGGCGATGTAACGATGTCAGCCCGACAGAGCAGGGGCTCGTCGCCGGACTGGATAATGACATCGACCTCACCGGAGCAAGGGCTCAACGGCGGGCGAGATAATGTCGTCACGGCTCGAAGGCCTCGTGGCCTTCTAAGACTGAGAAGTGTTAGAGGAGCGGCCGTGCCTATCCCGAAGGCTTGCAGCAGACCGACTTCCTCCAATCCTTTCCGTCTCGGCTCGATTTTCACGAATGAGGTTCGGTATGTATTTTTATTCGTGTGTATGTGTATACATATGTATATTTATTTATTATTATCATCATATTCTTATTGTCATTATTATTATTTATATTTTTAAATGAATGTATATATGCGTATATACATTTATTATTCGTTTATTACTATTATATTATTACTATTGTTATTATGTGTGTATACACACATGTATATAAATGTATGTATTTAAAGCAAAATTGAGAATAGGATTATTACCTGGGACCGGTGCAGAGCGTAGGCCTATGAGTATTATCGACTGGAGAGGCCGACTATTCCTTTGCTCAAGTTCCTGCCGAGCTGCTCGACTTTGAGATTTTGTTGTTCGCTTGTCAGCCGGGACGCTATCAGCCTTGATTCTATTTATTACATATACTCTATCTATTACAACATTTTTTTTTACAAATAAATTTACAGGCCATTCACTATTTGGGCCAAATGCTTTTACACTAAAGTATTCACTTTATAAATTCCTATTCATTTCTTTTATTATCAGGCCCAAATACTGCTCATATTAATACCACTGCTAAGGCCCAAAAGAACAACTTTCCCAAGTCAGCGACTTTTCAGTTCGGTTCCCAAATTGCAAATTCCCTTCAGAGAACTTTTTCCAAATCGATTGCTCCGCTCGCTCGATTTTGCGTCGAACATCCGTCCAGGGATGAGCTCGAAGGTGCGCATCTGACTGGACCCGCGAATTGGGTCGCCGTGAGGTGTCGGCGGCAGAGGTCGAGGTTAAATGGAATCTCGGTGTTTGTGGCGAGCCCGGCATCTGAGTTTGCTCGGTGTCCGAGTTTAATTGCGTCGCTTTCCGGTGGCGGCGTCGGTTCGGCATCCGCGGGTTAGCGGCGCGGCTGTGGCGAGGTAAGGAGTGCGTCGCTTTCCGGTGGCGGCGTCGGTTCGGCATCCGCGGGTTAGCGGCTCGGCTGTGGCGAGGTAAGGAGTTGGCGACGTGGCTGTGCACTTCGTCGGACCTGAGAAC